AGTGCCACAAAAGTATATGAAAAAGCAATAGACATATGACAAAATTATCTTAAAGCATGTGATGGAAATATGAATACATATAAATTGGAGATTTTAAGAACATGTAGCATGAAAACATGAAAACTAAGACACATGCACCCGACACATGGCATGACTACATGAAATCCTAAGACACATGCACCCAAAAACATTTCTTTCCATTTTTGTTACGAATTGACAAAGGAAGCTCAAACAACGAAAGCAAGATCAAAAATCACACAAGCAGGGACAAGATGATGGAAAAATTATTAAACTACGAGAAGTAAGCAATAAACAAGCAGTGGATAGCAACACACAAACCAACTAATGCCAAACTCCCTTACCAAACTATACCAAGATGAACCAAACTCCCTCTCACTAAAAGTAACCACAAACACTGAAAACAATGAACAAGAAGAAAAAAACGAAAACAAAATATTGTAAAGCAAGCAAGGAATTTCTGATTTGTACCTGCAAACACACAAGAATATCCAAGAAACACAATTACATGAAAACACAATGTGCACAGCCTCTAGAAGAATCCTCATAAAAGAAAGTGATGAATTATGTGAAACGCATAGATCCCTTGATAAAAGTGTGTGTGTGACTCTTGGAGTTTGACAAACACAAGATTCAAATCCTAGTAGTGATTTGAAAGCTGGACCTCTGGCAAGAGAATCTAAGTACAACAAAGGAAAGTCAAACCACTAGGAATCAATGGGTATTTGTTGAGTAATAGCGGAGGTTTCCCTTCAATCAATGAATCTTTTTTTTTTCACATGTTTTTCTTTTCTTTCTTTTGCACATTTTTTTCTTTCTTTTGCACACTCATTAGCGGCTGACACACTCAAGAGTATGGGAACCGAACTAGAGAAGCATGAATACAATAAGGATAGCCTGGTTGGTGACTCTGAGGTAGCCTTTTCCTCATGGTTGGACTACAAAGAACAGAAGGGAAAGCCATGGAGATGCAAAAAGATGGAAGGTGATTAAGAGACTCAACATCACTCATGATGTGCTAGTATAGGTCAATTCCTCTAGAAAAACAAAAGATACAATGCCAGAAGTCCATAAAGAAAAATGATCACTAAGGGGGAAGACTCCAAAATTGCTAATCTAAGAGTATGTATAGAATGAGACATACTAATCAAAGAACACACACTCCGAAATGAATAATGACCACAGAAAATACACACATATTAACATGTAATGGATATTCTCATTAATTCCAATATGCACCAAGGACTACTCAAAAATTTCAAGCTTGCAAAACCATACTAAGAAAATCTTTTTGGATTTTTGTATTTTTATTTCTTTCTCTCTAAAATAAAGCAAGACATAAAATGAACAAGGGCACACTAAATGATACCACATATTAAATGACCCAAAAAGAAAAAAAACAAAACAGAAACCCAAAAACTAAAACGAATACACAAATTAACACAAGTCAAGTTTTCTCACCCAAACCGCTTTAGTATGAACAAAGTTGTGAGAATGGCGGTTCTTTGGTGGTGTCTTGATGTTGTGGTTCCCTTCCCCTTCAATGAGACCCCGTCTTGACATGGTTTCTGACTTCCTGTTCCTAGGTCTAGGAAAACACAACCTCTGATCATTTTTGGTCTCAAGCATCAAAATAACGAGGTCTAACATGATCCTTAACCTCATTACCACCAACAAAGTGTCTTCTACCCCTCGAGATGTTGGAATTTCTTCTATCTCTATGAGACACTCTCCCATGCAACTCATAACAATAAGGGCGAATATGACCATACACACCACAATGATGACAAATAAAAACAGGGTGTATAGGGTGTACCTTCTTTTCTTTGGCCCTACCAACTCTAGGAAGATTTAAGTCTTTCCTCCCATTGAATCTTGTGCTCCCCCTGCCCTAGAGTTCTTGTATCATAAGATGTGGATGCACTCTGTTTTTGCAATGCCACTCTTGTCAGAACAAATTTGTTGAGACCCAATGATATTGTCCAAAGTCTTTGATCGTTAGTTCCAAAGACCAATGGTTGCCATAGCGCACTTGAGCTCTTCCTCTTTCTTGATAATTAGCTCTTCTAAGGCACCTTGAGACATCTCAAGAGTTTCAATCTTTTCTTTATACATTGCATAGATTTGTTGTAGCTTATTCCTCTCTGTCTCACAAGTCAAGAGTTTTGCACAAATGACTTGTCGATCATTAGATATCTTGATGGCATCAATCCTAGCCTCGAAAATCTCCTCCTTTAGTTTGACATTCTCACTTTCACATGCTTTGAGTTTCATAGTGAGTTTGTCATTCAATTTAGATAAGTTAAGAGATTCCTTATACAATTTTTTATAAGCTTGCTGAAGCTCTTCATCATCACTACTTTGAGGATTCATCATCACTGACATTCTCAACCGGCCTCTTCGGATACCCTATATGTTCTTCAGTTTCAGAAGTCGCCATGAAAGCAAGGAATTGTTTATGTCCCTCTTCGCCTTGATCTTCATTGTCACTTTCATCTTTATCAAATTTTGATTCATCATCCCAAGTGATAGCGAGGGCTTTCTTCTTCCTCAAAAGAGTAGGGCATTCTTGAGCAAAGTGGCCAAATCCTTGGTATTCATAGCATTGGACTCTTTTAGAGTTCCCTTGTATCTTTCATTTCTCCTTCTTGGCTATAGAATTAATTTTGAGTTTATCTTTGCCTTTAGATTTATGAGTATGAGTAGATTCCAAAAGATTAGGATTCTTCTTCAGAAAAGATTTTTTAAATTATTTTACAAAAGCATCCGTAATCTTGGAATCTATCTCACAATCCTCATCAAAATCCACTCCAACTCTATACGCACTACTAAAAGCGATAGCATCTTTTTGTTTCTTTTTAAAATTCCTATGTGCCTCATAAGTTTAGAGATTTCCAACCAAATGATCCAGCTTGAGGTTGTCAACATCTTGAGCCTCCTCAATAGCCGTAACTTTTGGTTGGAACCGATCGGGCAAGGACCTTAAAATTTTTCCTACAATCTTGGATTTCGGTATTTTTTTCACCAAAATTAAAGCTGGAATTTATAATGTCACTCAATTTTGCATAAAATTCATCAAAGGTCTCACTATCTTTCATTGAAAGGTTTTCAAAACTAGACGTGATCCTTTGAAGTTTTGAGCATTTAACAGAAGGAGTGCCCTCATGAATAGTTTGTAAGATATCCGAAGCCTCTTTTGCGACTTCACAATTGCAAATACAACTAAACTCTTCAGGTGTGACGGCGCAAAAGAGAGAATTGATAGCTTTACTATTCCAGCTACTATTTTGGTAATCAATTATATCCCACTTATCAATTGGTTTGGGGAAAGTTACTCCATCAATAGTAATCGTCGGTTCGGTCCACCCATACATGACAGATTGCCAAACGTTTTCATCAACAGATTTTAAAAACGATCTCATCCGAGCTTTCCAAAATGAATAATTGGATCCGTCAAGTAAAGGTGGTTGAACCATAGAATTTCCCTCACAAATTGAATCCATTATCACAAATCAAACAAGATCTCACTCTAATAGATTTTTTTAAAAAAAAATAAAGTGACCTGCTCTGATACCAATTGAAAAATTTAGGAATCCCCTAGATATTGTTTTGTGATTATGTATCAATTTTAATCAGTAAATAGCAATCCTAATTAAACAATCAAAGACAAATCAACACAACAATTTTACATGGAAAAATCACAATTAGAGCGCCTCTAATTGTGATAAAAAAAACCATGGGCAAAAGGCACAAAACAATCCACTAAAAAGACAAAGGAATTACACAGGTATACTCTCAATTACCTAGTGAATCCACACCCGAATTAAACCAACCCCTATGTGCCTCTTCCAACCCCGTCTTCACATCGGAATTGTCTTGCCCAACGTTGAATCCACAACGTTGATGTCAAATCACAATGATGAGCCACTCCAGAATCCACCAAAGCTTTAGGCTCAAACTCTCCAGAATCCACCGAAGAACAACTCTCTCTTTTGTATAGAATAAACAAACAATCCTTTGATGTATACTCCTTGAACCATAAGTTGAATACTCAATAACACATCAAAGAAAACTAGCAAAATAGCCCCAGATATAAACCCTAATATCCAAGAAGAAGATCTGGAAGCGTAACCCTAAAATCTGACTGAATCATATATTTATAGCAATCTGTCCCGCGATCTCCGCTCAAGCGCCGAAATGGCCGCTCGAACAGACTGACACTCGAGCACAGGAAATTCCACTCGAGCGGGAAAAAACATTTTCCAGTATTTTTGCAGGCGATCAAACTTCTGGAACCAAGGATTCTCCGCTCGAGCGGGGGAATGTTTACTCGAGCGGACAAGCAACTTCGAATGCATTTTTGCATTTTGCTTCAAGGGCGCTACCCCGAACCCGCCAAGGGGCACTGCCCCCTAGACCCCCGCGAGCTGACCAGGCAGCTCGATCTCCGTTATAGTCAGCGAAGTGGAAATCATGAAAGAATTAGAACCACAAACTTCTCTGCAAGGCACAATTCGGGTTGGATTCGCAACTAAAAACTCATAGCCTCACTAAAATAAAAGTGCGAAAACAAGTACAATTGAAAGGAGTTTTGTCAAATGGGATTGCCAAGAATAAAAACCTAACAGAAGCCAATGAAAATAGCAAATGGCCGACTCTCTTTATTAATTTTGTACGTTGTGTCAAATGTCACAACATCCCCAAACTGACCGTAGTCAATTATCATTCTAGCATTTGCCCAAAAAATATTTTTTATTTGCTCCTTACTATCCAACTGCATGGCATAAAAGAATGAAGGATTTTTTTAATATGCTCCATACTTCTCCGAATGCCAGCATTTTTTGTCTTTTTGTTCTCAGATAATTCTTTTGGTCTTGTTTCAAAAACCCAACACATTCCCTTCCTCCTATCTCTTTACCTATTAACTTATATCATGACCTAAGAGGTATCCCAGAGTCATTAGCCAAATCAATTTCAATAGATTAAGAGGTGGAAATTTTTCGTTGAGAATGAAGCATATGAGAACATTCACTTACTACAAGGTGATAGTTGTGCATTTCTACGAAGTTGGTAACATTATACTTCCCAATTTTCCTATTTAATTTAATGTTCATTGGAGAACCACAACTAGTCCTTGTCTCAGCCCTTGCATTCTTCGCAACGTAATCTCTTTTATCAACTTTTCTATGTCCCTCCTTAGAACAAGCAAATGCCGTTGAAGTAATGTCACCCGTCTTACTTTTGTGAGCATATTCTCTTCTAATACTAAATACAACTCTTCCTCCATAAGAATTATAAAAATCATATGCAAATTGCTCATAGTCAAATTCCATACCAAGTATAGGTCCAAATTGTGTATCATCCTTCCCACATTGTGCATCAGCCATTTTTGATAAATGCAACCCCTACAATGCAAAAAATTAATTTATCAGAAAAAAATCTCTTAAACATAAATGGCATGGATGAAATTAAGCAACAAATCCAATAAACTAATTTTTTTATTAACTTAAAAAAGTTAATTCACAAATTAGGTTCAACAAAAGTTATATATAACACTAACATGTTATTATCATTGAATAAAAAGCACTTTCATAAAGAACAATTAACCAAAAAAAAAAAAATCAAACGGAGCACCAAATGCAATAAAGAAAACAGAGCACCAAATGAAAAAAAAAAAAAAAACAAAGCATCAAAAGCAATAAAACATTTTTATAATGTAATTGGATAAAAAGCATTACTTTTGTTAGGTTTTATTATTGGCAATCCCCTTTGACAATGATTTTTTTAATAAGTTGATTTTCTTCCAAAACTAGAATTACTTTTGGATTTCTATAAGTAATTGGATTTCTTCCAAAACTAGGATTACTTTTGGATTTTTTATAAATAGTTGGTTTTCTCCCAAAACTATTTAATTCCTCCAGATCTTCTTTTTGGTTCTTAAGGTTTATATCTGGGGATATTTTGTTAGTTTTCTTTGATATTTTATTGAGTGTTCAACGCATGGTTTAAAGAGAGTACATCAAAGGTTTTGTTTGTTATACACAAGAGAGAGAGAGAGTTGTTCTTCGGTGGATTCTGAAGAATTCGAGCCTGAAGCTTCGGTGGATTCTGGAGTGGCTCATCGTAAAGACAATTCCGTGGTGAAGACGGGGTTGGAAGAGACACATAGAGGTTGGTTCAATTAGGCATGGATTCGCTAGATAATTGAAGTATACCTGTGTAATTCCTTTAAATCTTCTTAGTGGATTGTTTTGTGGCTGTTGCCCGTGATTTTTTAATCACAGTTGGAGGTGTCCAATTGTGGTTTTTCCACGTTAAAATTGTTGTGTTGATTTGTCTTGATTGTTTGATTGGGATTGTTATATACTGCTTAAAATTGTTACATAATCACAAATCAATATCTAAGGGATTTCTAGATTTTTCAATTGGTATCAGAGTAGGTCGTTCTATTTTTTTTAAAAAAAAATTCTTTTAGAACGAGATCATCCTTGATTTGTGATAATGGATTCAATTCATGAGGGAAATTCTATGGTTCGACCACCCTTACTTGACGAATCATCATAGAGTGATGATGAAGAACTTGAGCAAGCTTATGAAAAGTTGTATAAGGAGTCTCTTAACTTATTCAAATTAAATGACAAACTCACAAAGAAACTCAAAGCATATGAAAGTGAGAATGTCAAACTTAAGGAGGAGATTTCTGAGGCCAGGATTGATGCCATCAAGATAGCTGATGATCAACAAGCTCTTTGTGCAAAACTATTGACTTGTGAGACAGAGAGGAATGAGCTACAGGAAACCCATGGCATGGATGAAGAAAAGATTGAATCTCTCGAGATGTCACAAGTTGCTTTGGAAGAACTAATGTTCAAGAAAGAGGAAGAGCTCAAGTGTGGTATGGCTACCATTGGTCTTTGGAACAAAGGATCAAAGACTTTGGACAATATCATTGGGTCTCAACAAATTTGTTCTGACAAGAGTGGCATTGGCTTTGGTGGTAAGAAAGAGCAAAAACAGAATGCATCCATATCTCATGATACAAGAACTCAAGGAAAATCAGAACAAAAAATTTAACATAAGGATAGACTTCTCAAACTTGCTAAAGTTGGTAAGGTAAAAGAAAAGAAGGTACATCATGTACACCCTGTTTTTATTTGTCATCATTGTGGTATGCATGTGTAGACGTCCCCGAACGCCCCGAGAGGGTGAGTCCCGTTCTGTTCATTTGGGGTCACTACAGCTCAAGACTCTCAAATTTGTCATGGTTCTAAGTCTGAACCAAAGAGTCCAAATCCGGCAAATCGTTTTGAGAAAAACAGATTTTTTGAAAAAAGTGCCAAACATGGACTGCTTTGCCAGATACAGAGTCGCCACCTAAATATTTTATTTTGGGAAATTTAGGAAACCCTGACTCGTTCTTTTTCTTGCGGATATCTAATTCTTCTGGTTATAATCATCAATGAAGGTGAGAAAATATCTATTCTGTCCATTTGATATTGGCTTCAATGGACCACACACATCAGTGTGCACTAGTCTAGCGGCTTTGTTGCTCTCCATTTCACTTCTTTGGCAAAGCTAGTTCTGTGATGCTTGCCAAGAATGCAGCTTTCATAGACCTTATTAGTATGAGCAATATGAGGAAGCCCTTTCACCATATTCTTGCTTGACAACAGCTTCAAGCTTCCAAAGTTGAGATGTTCAAACCTCAAATGCCATAGCCAATCTTTGTCTTTGATGATGGCACTTAAACACTTCGTAGCATCATGTTGGATGTTCAAT